ATGGTAGAAAATAACAGAAGCCTCTAATACAAAGGCAAGAAGGGGTATGTGCTATAAAAAGAGTGAACAATTAGGGAGATAGGAGACGCTGACGGTTGTGATAACAGGGCCAGTGAGGACTTCTCTGGTGGGTGCTGTTGGGGCATAGAGCTGGTGGGCAAGAGGGGGCAAGCCACATGGGCATCTGGGGAGAGAATTTTCCAGGCAAGCCCAAGGAGGAGAGGATTTTCCAGGCCAAGGAGGAAGAGGTGTGACACCTGAGGAGGGAGCGTGCTGCGTGCATGGAAGGAGGAGGCAGGTGGCCAGTGAGTTAAGGAGGGGAACCTCAGGAAGCAAGAGGGTCTGAACTGAAGCATGCTGGATCTCACAGCCCAGGGTGAGGGTCTGGACTGGAGCGTTCTGAGAGGGAGAGTGCCCCGGCTGTTCTACTTCTACCTCTCGCACCCTTTGTTCTCTCAATCTCCTCTCGTCTCTGAGCGACCAGACCAGGGGTCATTTGCTTGGTCTTTCTCTTCTACCTTCTGATCTCCCAAACATGGTTATGAGGCACCTTTCCGACTCAGCTGGGTCCCACTTTTGGAGCCAAAATGATACTTTAGAAGAATCAGACAAAAAAAAAAAAAAAAAAGAAGAAGAAGAAGAATGAGACACAGGTAAATCAAGAGTGGTTCTTCCAGCCGTTCATTCTGAGTAAGCCTTGATATGTACTAGTCTTCAGGGCTGTAACTACCAACCAGGTAGCCCCCATTTTTTGAGAATACACATTCTGGATGTGCAATTTCTTCAGCAGCTTTCTCAGCATTTTCTCATTATTTTATTTTTGTCCTTAGAAATTTCACTCTGTGTGTTTGCCATAAGTTTCATCGACCTTCTCAGGGATGCTGTGACTGCTTATCCACCAGTGTGAGGTACAGTGTTAGGTTCAGGGAACTCACAGACCTGTCCTTATTTTGAGAGTGTTGGCTGCCTTTCAGGAGGCTGGTGGAGGGCCTCTCAGCCCAGTGAAGGGTGTCGTTACATCCAGAGGTGGGTACACCAAAGCAGCCTGAGAGCCCGGACTGGGGTGAAGGGAAGACTCACATCTCCTCGATGTAGGTAACTCATTAGAGTTCCCAGTGTGACCGATGGGACCCTAGGACAGCTCGGACAGGGACATTCTCTCTCCTCCTAGGCCTGGTGTGAGGCCAACCCTTTGGAGAACCTCATGCCACTTCAGTGGTAGAAAATACATCCACCGCCTTGGTAACAGCTACTCATTCTATGTGCACTTCAGGTTTGTCCACTTATTTAGAAGAAGATTACGATGGTGGATTGAATGTGGCCTTCAAAACATGTGTTCACATCCCATCCTTCGTAAATCCATGAATATGACCTTATTTGAACAAAAGGTCCTTGCAGATGTAATTAAGGATCCCAAGATAAGATCTAGGGTGAGCTTTACAATTTTAGGGTGACTAATGCCCTTATAAGAAGAAAAAGGCAGAGGAAGATGTGAGTCCTAGATACACAGAGGGAAGAAGGCCATGTGAATCGGAAGACAGAGATTGGGGAAAGACAGCTTCATGCCAAGAAGGCACCGGAAGCTGGAAGAGGCAAAGGTGGGCTGTCCCCTGGAGTCTACGGAGGGGGTGTGGTCCTGCCAGCACCTTCATTGTAGATGTCTAGGCTCCACAATCATGAAGGAGTATATTTCCGTTGCTTTTAGCCACCATGTTTGTGGTAATTTCTTAGGAGGTTAATGTAGGGACCTAAAACCCAGGCTTAAAAAAAAAATAAATAAATAAAACCCAGGCTTATCCCAAATACGTTTTCCCTGACAGTTCCCAGCAAAAGGGAAGACAAAAGCTCTCACCCCGATATACCCAATAGGAGAGTCAGTGAGGACCATTCTGGAAGGCTTCACCCCTCCATGCCCCAGGCTCTGTAGTGGGCCTCTGGATTCTGATGCTGTCTTCCCTCTCCTCTCCATTCACCCGCGATGTCAGAAACACTTTTGGTTTGTTTTCCATTTTATGTGTTATCTTTAAAAATTACTTTAAATACACAGGTATTCCGACATAACAATTTATGAGCATTTGTACACATGCCCGCACTACAAAATGATTAATTGAGCGTTGTATGTTTTTATCAAAGGAAACAACGTGAAGATTTCTCCAAAGTCCTGTTTGACTAAAGATGATTAATTTTAATTTTCACATGAGCGGCATAATGCTATTAATCATTTAATATGTTTAATCATAATCTCTGTAATTCCTAATTAGGTTTATTAAGCTGAAACATCCAGCAGTTATGTACAAATCCAAATCTAAGTTTCTTTCTTGGGATGAGAAGGGGCTTGCTTTAATTTGCATTCGAACAGCAACTCCTAACTGGAGGGAAGAAATGGACTGCAAGCTAGGGTCTCAGCTGCTGAGTCTGCAAACTTAGAGTCTTAGGTCCGAGTACCAAGATCCCAGCCACGTGATTCAAGGACATCTCTGGGTCTTGGTTGTGTCACCACACCTCATGTCACCAGCAGAGAGAACACAGCTCCTTGCTTTGTTTGGGCTTGGGTATTATAATATCATATGCAATTATCACTAGAAGATGCAAAGTAGGTGGACCATTCACTCCTTCACTCATCACTTTATTGATATACTCGTCATCCCTCCCCCTGCTCCATCGGTGACTCAGCCAACCATCTGACCTGCGTGTATCATTTGTCAGCCTTGGCTCAGCCCTGGTGTCGGGTGCTGGTCACATCACACCCTGTGATGATCCATAAGTGGCCCCTCTTCATTTTTATCATGAAATATACACTCTTGCTCTGCACACAGGACCCTTTGTGATCCTACCCCTGCCACCCCCCACAGTGTGCTGTTCTGACTGTCCTTCCTGCACATGACCAGTGACACTAAGGTGAACGTGTACTTACTAAATCCAGACCCCAATTTCACCTCCACGTCTTTGCCCTCAGCTGGCACGGCATGGGCCCCCTTCCTCTCTGCCATGAGACATCTCCCACTGAAAGCGCAAGCTCCAGAACTGACAGGCCTCAGAGACCATCCAGCTGTGTGGTGTGCCTCTGCTTTAGGTTTACTAGGCCCTCTGTGAGTCACTCTGATCCCAGCCTCACGACTGTCTTTCTCCTACTTCCCTCTCTTGCACTGAGCTGGGAACTGCGTGTGTTCGGAGGCTACCTTATGTGTCCAATATAAAGCAGCTGCTCAGTAAAAACATGTTTAACAAGCAAATGAGAACCTTTCCTCTCTCTGTTTCCTGAGAGAGGCTTTTTCATTCCTTGTTTTTGAGATTTTGAGAAAAAGTCACCATCACTCGAAAAAATTCATTGCCTTCCATTTATTGAGTTCATGTGCCAAGAACTCTGCCAGGTTGGCCTATATTACCGCATTCAGGCTTCACAGAGCCTTAGAAGGTGTGCTGTATTGTTATTACTCATTTTCCAGGTTAGAAGACTGTCACCATCTTCCTCCTTTATTCCACTCCAACAACACAGACAAAATGACCAAGCTCAGTGTTGTCATTGTAATGACGTAGCGCTTCAAACTTGCAGAGGTCATCCTTCTGATACCAAATCAGCTTGGAAGAGTAGGGTGCCAGCCACTGGGAGATCTTGACTTCAAAATGCCATTCAGGGGGTATTAGGAAAGAGAATGCAAATGAAGTCTGCCAAGAAATACAAGAATTGGCAAGAAAATCACTAATTATGCCCATGTCATTGTGGTATATACAATATATAAATCATCTTTATATATAACATTTCTATTTATATGTATATATAAAAAAATATAATTTATATATATGTGTATGTATGTACATATATATATATATTTCACTTTATGAAGTTGTCTTCTCTGTGTCTTTATTATCTTACACCTGCTTGGTTGCTTTGATGGTTTTGTCCCAGTGATATGCTTCTGCATTGTTTAAAAGTAGGTGAGGCCGACCCCTTCCTCATAAATTACATGGGCTTCCACATAGGTTTTCCATTATAGTTTTGGAGAAGCAAGTAGCTCATGTGGATGGCATCACCTGCCACCCGGAGGCAATAGATGCTAATTGCAGAGAAAGTATCTAGAAGCATCTCTAGAACCAAGAGTATGGGAATGGCTATAATGATACCAAATATTACTATGACTTTTCTTCTAGTTTCTGCTTATATTGTGCTGATATAATATCATGCTTTCCAAGACTTTTATCATGCCAAGAGTGGGAAGCAGAGTAATGAGTTATGCTAATAGCATAGCCTTGTCGACACCAAGATAGTCCATAGAATATCCTGGAGGTGTCTAGATCCATGCTGTCTGACCTGGAAACCACTAGCTATGGGTGGCTACCAAGGACCTGAATTGTGGCTAGTGTGAAGGAAAAACTGGATTCTATATTTTTCTTAATGTTAATTCATTCAAATTTAAATAGCTATGCAAAGTCATCTGTAATGGACGGTATGGACGTGCATGACCAAGAAATCAGAAGATAAAACCTTAAAAAAAAATTAAGTCAATCAGATGGCTACTTGGACTGCAGAACACCAAACAGCCTTCTCAAATGTTTTATTACATTTGCTAACGTTTTATCTGGACAGTCGCAACAATTATGTAGGCGTATCTTAAGATTTTGATTAAGGGGATATACCCTCTCCTACCTTTAATGAGGAGGTTTTCTCTGATTGCCTGTTAAAACTCCCAGAACACCTCATGCCAACTACCCCTCCCCCTGCTTTATTTTTCTCCATGGTGCTCTCCTCCTACCAGTTCCGAATGTATTTATTAATAAGCTTATTGCTTCCCCTGCCCCCATAAGAATCATGCTCCATGAGGGCAGGAAGTTTGTCTGCCTGGATGTTAAATAAATACTCGTTGAATGAATGAATGACCCAGTGGCTCCTTCCTTGTCCTTCTTCCTTTGTTCCAGCATTTTCCTACCATTCAGGGGAAGCAAAAGCACTTTGGAAAGAGCACACAGGTCCACTCAGAGCCTCTTTACTCTTGTCCTTTTAGCAGACAGACGACGCGGCACCAACGGATGGCCAGCCCCAGACACAACCTTCTGAAAACACAGAAAACAAGTCCCAGCCCAAGCGGCTGCACGTCTCCAACATCCCCTTCAGGTTCCGGGATCCGGACCTCCGACAAATGTTTGGCGTAAGTAGTGCGTTTCTCCTCTGCTGTGCCCACTCTGGGGTCCCCGGAGCCCTTTCCTCCTCATGTAAGTCTTTGGTATTTATAACATGAAGATGAGATGTTTGCATGGGGGAAAAGAAAGGCATTTTAAATCCTAGTCTGTAGGTATAGTGGGGCCAGAGTCTCTTTATGATTTTAGTGTAAGCGTCTTTGTATATGTTCACCATGTTCCCATTTGCCAAATGGTCTTCTAATTAGTAACTGGAAGGTCAAATGGGAAATGAGCTCCCAGGAGAAATAGCATTGAAAGGAGCCCATTGACGATCCTAAATCGAGTAGCTCAGGGCCCCATGTCATGACTGAAATAAACATTCTGTGTCCTTTCAGCTCTTTTCTCTTTTGTACGTGCCACGGTTATCATGCCGTATTCCTACAGACCTCACTCTTTCCCAGGCACTGGGCATTTAAGATTTCAGAGGCAGCTTTAGAGATTAATGAGTTCTGCATTAAGCTTCATTGAAAAGCAAAACAAAGAAAGCCAGAGATTTCTAAGTCTGACTTGCCTCCTGTAGTATACATTCTCCTGGAACCGATGATGAGGATTCAGAGGTCCTGTGCCTCTGAATGGTTCTAGAAGCATCTCTAGATGCTGTGATGTTCTGTGCCACAGAAGACAGCCTTGCCCAGGTACCATGATTGAAACACAGAGCAGGGCAGAAACCACCATCAACCAAGAGAAAATAGATGATAGGGTTGCTTTCTCGTGGGACATGATGACTCGGATTCTTTTTCTGCACGAAATCTTGCCCTGTCCACCTTGAGAAGGAATGAGTTAGCCATGTCTTCGGGCTCAGTTCCGCCAAAGGACAAAACTCTGACAGGGCTTAGATAGCCTTAGCTATTTAGGGTTTGGGGCTTGGTTTGGTTTGGGTTGGGTTGGGTTTGGTTTTTGGTTTTTCAAATGTAGTCAGCCTATTTGTCCATGACATCTATCCTAGCGTTGATGAGAGGTGTCTGTGGATTCTCTGAACAGAACTACATCTTTAGCATTTGACTTAGAGTAAAGGTTGGCTACCTGGAGATTCTTCTAAGAGTTTGTGGACGGATGCAAATGTTACACAAGGAATAAGAAGAGGCAAAACTTTACTGCCTAATCCCAGCCAAAACAGACATCATTCCCCCAATGAGAAGGGGAGCTCTGTTTCATCACTCTGCAATTGTGGGGTTAGCTTGCTTGCACCTTTTATTTCTTTAACATGCATGATGTTTATCAAGTCCGCATCTGACACAAAGGCAGAGCTAGCGTCCTAATATTCAGATACCCAGACTTGAATCCTGACATTTCAGAGGAAAAGGTCAGCTTCTGCACTTTTATCTCTCTCGTTTGGTAATAACCTTGAGTTGAGCCCTCTAACTCTTGCAGAGTAGAGATACCCTCGGGCACTCTCAGGTCAAAGATGACTTTGAAAAGTGCAGAGCATTCAAAGTGAAAGTGGAGGTTAAGTGTGTATAAAGCAGTGAGACCAGGTTTGAATGATGGGCAGCCAGAGGAATTAGATTCCTTTTGCCACGTCAGGTTAGAAAGCCTTGCTCTGCGGTCCATCTTTACTCGTCAGGTGTCACTGGGATGTTGGCTTTGAGTTTGGCCCTCCTAATGACCATCCTGGTGTTCTTTCTTGGTGTCACTCACTGCAGCCCACCCTGAGGGCGCTCTTCCCTCCCTGGTCTTCTCCGTTTTCTTGAAAGTCACCGGAGGGCTACACGGCTGAGTCAGAGGGGTATTGGCAATATCCACAGCTGGAACTCCCCAAGACAGCACCCTTTCTTGCACGGATATCTGAGGCTCTCTGTTCTTACGGGGCGAGGGCAGGGGGTGCAGAGCAAAGTCTTGTCAAAGATCGAATGTACTACCAGTTTTCAAGCCATGATCAAAATTGACTGGTTTCAGAGCCAGTTTCTGTAAAAATCATAATTTTCAAGCAGCTGACAAGACGTCGACTTGACAAGATGATAGATAAGCTTAGTATCCATTAAGAAAATGCAGCATACATTGAGTAATATTGAAATTAATTTCATTCATCACAAACAGCATCTGGGTTCATTTTAAAGGTACAGAAGAATTTTTTTTTTTATGAGTTTCAGCTATAAAAATTTTCAGGCACTTACAGGTTCCTGGATTCCTTGTAATAATGCTGAGGCCTCCTTAGTCTACAAGCACTATTCTGACAAAATGGAATTGAAATACTAAAAATCTCTTCTTCCCAGCCGAGCACTGGGAAGGCAATCCCATTCTGGTTATGTGATACATTTAGTGGCATGAATCATGTTGAACAGCATCTGTAAACATTCTGATTGGTTTCCCACACAGTTGAGAGAATTAAGTATGCTTTCTTCTTTTAGGTCACAGTCACTGTTAGAAATGACATTTTGATTCCAGGCAGGTCTTTTCCAAATCATCTGGACATGAGATAGCTCCTCTCCTTCTGTTGCTCTATTTTGCATTGGCCCCTTCACTTTGGCAGGGGCTAGAATGGGGGGTGATTACAGAGAAAAATCCTGAAAGAGATTTTTGTGCTTTTCTTCTTTGTCTCCTTTTGTTCAGTGCAGCCATGGAGATCTGAAACCAAAACCAAAACAAGACAAAAAGGGAAGCACCTTTCCCAAACTGCCTAAAACCTTGCTGTGCTCATAACCACTTTTGTAACCATTAATAATTCAGCTGTGAAGTTTGCAATTTCTGCAGGCCTAATGGTCAGTGTAGGTACTTCACATTTTGTTTTTAATTTGTGGCTTCAGGGCCTATTTATTGCAATTCTGGTGACCTTTCTTCTATTATGTTTTTCAGTACTTGATATTCTTCATTTCTTCCTCCTTTGGAAGCATTTGTTCTAGTGGTTGGCATTAAATCTTCTAACTATTCAGAGATTTCCTTCCTTCCTTCCTTCCTTCCTTCCTTCCTTCCTTCCTTCCTTCCTTCCTTCCTTCTTTCCAAGATGGAACATTTTTTTTTACTTTTTTTTAATAAATTTATTTTTTATTGGTGTTCAAAGATGGAACATTTCTTGGTCAAGAAGTTATGTGGCCCTGGTGGAGTCAGAGTCTTTTCACTCCACCAGTTGGGGCGTGAGAGAACAGATCAGGGGCGTTGGTTCTGGATGTTTCACTGGAAGAAATGTTGGTTCTGGCCTGGCTACTTCATTCTTGAGCTCTGTCCTCATCTCAGGGAGCATTCATGTGGGTGTGCATCTTTTCTGTTTGAATTGTTGATGATCTCATGAAAGGAACGTGTGGATTTCCACCAAATTGATTATGATGGCTTGCTTTTGGACAGAATGGTTCTTTAACCTAACATTTAAAATTTACACACACCTGGGTTTGGGGTGAGAGAGGTGGTTATGATATTTCCAGACCACTGACATGACACATTGCATCATAGAACTGTTTTCAGAAGCCAGCTACTCAGTGAGTGTAAGATTCAGATTTGCACAGTACCCCTGTTGACATCACAGCCTTGCTTTTGTTATCAAAATACAGACCCTCTGGGTGTGAATATGATCGACTGAAGTCACTCATTCTTGTCACCCAAAAACAGGTCACGTGACTTTCAGAACATGCAAAAGAAGTTTTCACAGTCACCTTTTTAGTAATAACATAGAGATGGTTGTACCTTTGGCATTAATGCCAAATTCCATGCACCATGCTGTTATAACTAGTGAAGTCTTTTTTTTTTTTTTTTTTGGACCTGGCATGGCGCGTTCCATTTCTGCATTCCAAACATGAAGCCAATCCTAGGAAAACTGAGATGATGCCTCTTTCTTTGCCTGCGTGTGCTCTTTGAACTAACCTTTACTTTCATGTTTTATGCTGTATCCACTGAGCATCTTCCACAGTTTTTCAGAGAAATATTATTTGATCTGAGAATGTCTCAAAATGCCTGGTACGTACTTGCCCCAGTGCGTCCCTATAAGCTTCCGGATTTTATTCTCGATACAGCTATTGAGACACCTTGCATGGATCCTGAGACGTTGTTGAACGTGGCTGCACATGGGTGTTGAGCAAACTAATGCGAGTTAAGTCTGCGAGTCATGTCTATTTAAACTGAACATGTGCCAGCTGTGTTTACATCATTAGTACCAAACTTCCCAATTAAACTGTTGATACTATAAATATAGTACGCAACTGTCTCAGGAATGGGGCTCATATCAGCGTTCTTCTCACTGCTCATTTCACTGGCTCTGAGAATCATCCACCCAATGGCAACTGCCAGAGAGGCAAACATTTGAGACCATTTCAGGGCATATGGTGTCATCGTTTCATTTAGGGAATGACACATGCTGGGATTACTTCTTGATTGGTTGGTTCTGTCTCAACCCGATCTTATTTTAAAGGGAATGTTTTCATGTTGACTGCTTAGAGAATGTTCCACGATGACATTTGCCTCGTGGTTTTGGAAGGAGTCCTTTACAAGCTTCCCTGTTCATAAATATGTGTGCTTTCACGCTCGTAGGCCTGAAATAAATATGATAGCATCTGTGTGGATTGAATAGTCCGAGGAGGTCGTATGGAAATCACTGGTTCTGGGGAGATCACAAACTGGAAGAGTGTTTACTACTAAATTCAGTTCACCTTTGAACGGCAAATCCCGCATTTCCCAAAACTGAAAGTTTTCTTCTATTTTTAACAACGTTCTCTGCCCAAATCTAGGGCACTGAAAATGTTCTGTAGAATATTCTCCTAACCCAAAGGAAATTAGAGTGCCCACAAATTGCAGGTTGAGGTAGCTACCAGTTTCCTGGTATTTCCATTGTACCTTCTGGCAGTGGAGCCCTTCCTTCCCTCTCCTCTCCCAGCTGAGCATCTTCGTTTCTTCCAATCCTTCTACTTCTCTGGGAAGAAGAGAAGCACGTCCATCCACTCCATAAGACAAATTCCATCCGCAGTCCCCTGACTGCATCTGTATCCTGAGGAATGGGCACGTTTCCATGACATAGCTTTGGGTTTCCTTTTTCTCCACCATCAGAACTACTTTTGTTTCAAGGTTTTGAGCTATTTCTCTTCAACCAAAGTGTGCATATTTCTTTTTCTGTCTTTCCAAGGAAAGTGGATTCATTTGTATGTTCCACAGGATAGTCTCTGTATGTTTCAAATCTTTTTTTTTTTCTCAGATCCTAGTAGGACCCTTTTGACACTTACTCTCAGCCCCCTACCCCCATGGCCGTATCGTGTGACTGAAGCACAGTGGGCAGGGGGGCTGTCTCTGATTCTCTGTGTTCTAATCATTTGTTCCTTTTCTGTCCCCTCCCAAGCACTCTGTCCCCTGCTACATGGAGGCTGCTTAATGCTTTCCACCCAGGGGAGAGAGACGGAACACGGAATCTCCTCGGGCAATAAAGGATATAATAAAAATCCAGGCTGCAAAAGCAAATGGAATAATACAAAAGCTCAAAATAAAGGAAAAGAAGGATGGGCATATTCCTTCATATGGTTCTGTTTACTTTTTAATCACTAAAATGAGCCCTTGCCCTCATTCTGCATCAGGGTAAAATTCCCATCATAGTTTTCCTGGGCCATGTCACATGCCTTTATGACACTCTCTCCCACCTGCATGCTCAAGAAATACCCACAGTATTTCATGCAATCTAAGAAAAAGAGAAAGGATTCCAGTGTCAGGGGAAAGGGATCTTGGACTATCAGATGCTTCTGGTTTCAGGGTCTGTATTCCCTTCTTTTTAGGGTGTGAATCACAAATTGCTTGATGTGTATTTCTCACTAGGACTATGAGATTTAGCAAATTTAAAAAAAAATGCAGGATAACAATAGCTGAATTTGAATGTTAGATAACATATTTTATTAAGTCTAAGTATGTCTTAAATATTGAGGGGACATAATTATCCTGAAAAATTTGAAATTTAAATTTAACCAGGCATCTGTAATTCAGTTGGCCGCCCCATTTGTAATTTGAAACCATGTTTCCGGGCTTAGCCATGTGGAGTTGCTTTCACTTGTTATAGAGTCTATCCCTCCTAATTGTTAAAATCTATTTATTTGTTTAACAAAATGGAGAACCATCTTGAGAGAAGTACGTTTCAGCCCTAGGGCTAATCACAACTATGCTGGTGTCTTGATTATGATGGATATCCATGTGGTGGATCTTGCTTTTATCTGTTTGTTCTTGTTTTATGTGGCCTGGCTATTACCCTAGCTTATATGGGGCCAAGGGCCACAATCCTCATCATCAGATTCTACTTGGACATTTTAATATCAAAATCTTACCTCGTCAAGGATCTTTCTCCTGGTGGCTAGTGGAATAGCCTAGGAGGGTCAGGTTACACACAAGCCACTTTTAATCTTTGCTGCTCAGTGCCTGGGAAAGCAACTGTGGACACATAAAGCAAGGAAACTAGAACTAACCACTCAATTACACATTTTGCACCACGCCCGTACTAGGACATCTCACCTGGCGGGGTATCCAATAAAATGGAAATTGTTTGTGTGCTTGTGCTTTCTCCTGGTTCAAGCACATCTCTAAGGATACAACAACATAAACTGTCTATCCTTGATATTAAAAGAGGAAGAAAAAAAAACAAACTCTGACTTGGGGTGCAATTACCAATGTGCATAATATGATTTACTCCATTTCTCTTGCTTATAAAACATTTCTATTTCTTTGCAGCAATTTGGTAAAATCTTAGATGTTGAAATTATTTTTAATGAGCGAGGCTCAAAGGTAAGCAATTTAATTTACTTTAGGATTGTTTAGCTTATTTTTAAACGTTTGCTATGGATAATGGGAAACAACTGCACTGTTTTAATTAGCACATCGTGAAAATACACTTCAGTGGGAATTCCTTTAGAGACCTCCTCCAGTTTCAAAAATGGTGGGAAATACATTGGGTTCAGTTTAAATGTATAAGGGGGTAATTTAAAATTGCTGTTTTATACCTATCTATCTATTTATCTATCTATCTATATATATATATTTATCAAGTTTCCAGAGGAAAATTGCCCATGCTTAAAAAATAATGTTGTTGCTACATTTTTGTTTTTCAGTGATAATTATGTTCTTTATATTAAAAAGTGAGTTGATAGTCTCATGCGCAGGTAAATATGTGATTATTCTGTATTAATAAAGTGCAGTTATTTTCCTGGGTTGTAGGGGAGAGAATTTCATATACACCAACCTTTTGAATATAATTTTATTCATTAGTATGTTTACCACTCCACATTTTGCAATTTGCCATTGCTTTGAATTTGTTTTTTGGTGTTTAGTTTTTTGGTTTTTTTTTGGGGGGGGGTTTTCCCCTAGAAGACCAATATTTAAATCGATTTTCCCAGAGCTAAAAGTGTTAGTAAAAATCAGGGGCAATATGGAAAGGCTCCGCACATTCAACATGGAAATATGTTGAGGGAAAAAAGGCCCACCTCTCTCAAAGCATCCCCTTTAACAGTGCTCATCAAAATGCAGCCCCTGGAGCAGAAACACCTAGGAACTTACCAGAAATGCAAATTCTCAGGGTCCAGCCCAGACCTCCTAAATCAGATGCTCAGAATGGGAGCCCAAGCCATCTGTGTTTTAACAAACCTTCCAGGCCCGTCGTTAAAGTTATCCACACTGAGTTTTCCTGTTTTAGGGAAATGCCCAGGCTTCATCTGAATGCAAAATGCCCCTTTGCCCACCAGGGTTTTGTGGTTGCTAAAGTGTCCTCATCCCACTGCATGCACAGAAAACGCTAGAACTCTGTTGGAATCTCCCTTGAGGAAAGCAGTGCACTCGGCTTAGCCGCAGATGCTGAGCCGTGCCAGTCCTGCCGAAGAACTCAGAGATTGACCTCAGCAGCCAGAAAGTGACCACTTTCAATGCCTCTGCCTGGTTTCTAGAGCGCCGGTCCCCAGGCTGTCAGGAATTCTAAGCTCCCTTCTTGCATCCTCAGACTGCACAAGTGGATATTGGGACAAATTGCTTATCAGATACAGAGAAATGCTGGATTTAGCCCCGTAACTATCCTCACACAAGCAGTTTGGGACAAGTCAACATCTAGGAGGGTTACAAGAAGAAATGGTTTTCTCGAAGGGGACAAATGCCAGCCCTCTTGGGCACAGCAACCACCTCCTTCCTGTGAAGCAGACGTATTATTCCTTGGGCAGTCTGCACCCTTTCCCTCCTAACTAGGATGATGCAGATTGATGTGAGGGAAGAAAATTCTAGTTATTCTCCTCTCCACACCCAAAATGATGTTGCGATATGCTGGATGAGGGGGAAAATATCAATTCATTATACTCTCTGGTTCTGCTAGTTCAGGGGTCTTCTTCTCCCAGAATTTCAGATATTTTAGTTATTCTTAGATCAGTGGCGTGACCTCTAGGCTGGGGGAAACAGAAGTTAATTTCCTTTCTGCTTCTTTTTTTAAAAGATTTTATTTATTTATTCATGAGAGACACACACACAGAGAGAGGCAGAGACACAGGCAGAGGGAGAAGCAGACTCCATGTGGGGAGCCCAATGTGGATCCCTCCCGGGACCCCAGGATCACGAACTGAGCTGAAGGCAGATGCTCAACCACTGAGCCACCCAGATGCCCCTCTTTCTTCTTCTTGTATGAAAATCATTATAAGGGCTGTTTCTATGCCTGCAACGTAAAGTGCATTAAGAAAATTTGTGCCTGGGGCACCTGGCTGGCTCAGTCAGTAGAACATGTGACTCTTGATCTCAGGGTTGTGAGCTCAAGCCCCACGTTGGGTGTAGCAATTACTTAAAAATAAAAGAAAATAAATAAAAGAAAATAAAATAAAGAAAAAAAATGTGCCCAGCCTAACTAATCCTTTTCACTCAGGCTTCATGCATTCTTGGCAAAATCCTAGAAGATGACCCGGAATGTTAGCCAACTTTCATAATCTAATCCTGAGTCTGTAGTGATACTGCTTTTAAAGTTTTAATTTTTTAAATTTATATTTAATTTATATTTTGGTTTGTAACTTTTGCCAGTGGGGAGAAGCTATTTCATTCCTTTTTCGAGAGCTGTTTTGAGACATTAGAAGAATATCGTTTGCTATTTTGAAAGTACAATGGAGATACTATTTTAATACTTCCTCCGTCATTGCCATGATTAGCCTGTCTCTGGGGCTTTAGCAATGGAGACCGTTTAAGTTTGCCACATCCAGCAACTGAGTTTGTGAACCTGCTTTTTACTTTTGATTAGGAGACATCAAGAAGAGCCTGGGTGGGTATGCTCCCTCCAAAAAAGGCAGTCTGGCAAGTGCTGGGGCTGACTGTTTAGGTATGACTGGAGCGTCCTCAAGACTGTCCTTTGGAGAACTAAATGGCAACAGCAGCTCACACATGGATATTTTTCAGACTTGACTTTATCCTCAACAGGAAAGGGCCTTTAAAAAAAAAAAAGATTTTATTTATTTATTCATGAGAGACACAAGAGAGAAAGGCAGAGACACAGGCAGAGGGAGAAGCAGGCTCCATGCAGGAAGCCCGATGTGGGACTTGACCCCAGGATCCTGGGATCAGGCCCTGAGCCGAAGGCAGATGCTCAACCACTGAGCCACCCAGGTATCCTGGAAAGGACCTTATTTAAAGGAACATTTCCATTTACGTAGTTGAGAAACCTGAACCACCACCACGACCTCATGTTCATCATTTGGTGCAGGAGAAGCAGCCAGGAAGCAGGTGGGCTCCTAAGAGTGAGGAGCTCACCTTCTGGCCATTGTTTTAGGAGTCGGTACCTGAGGCAGGTCACTCAGGGCTCAGTGAGGATGGCTTTGTGTTCTGGGTGTTTGGGGTGCATGTATGTGCGTGTGTGTATTCCCCCTACAAACACAGGCAGGATCTATGTCCTCCTGAGAACATACAGCCTACATAGCTCACGTGTCCATGAATAGCTAATATACAGGGAAACCACATTTTAAAAGGATGCGCCAGACTTCAGAATTTGAGAGCAGTTAGGGCTGAGAGATCCCATAATTCATTTTTTCCTTTTAGGGGATATAAAAACATGTCGTTTAACTCTGAAACAATGGGTTTGGGGGATACAGCCAGAGACAGCTACTTCTTCATGTATCCAGGAAATAGGGAGTCTGAGCTTTGATTCATTAGGTATCTGTGAGTCCTGCTTCCATCCAGGTACAAGACGATGGCTGAATCCATGGTGAGTGGGTCAGAGGTGTTTCCCGTCCTCATAGATTTTCCTGAGAGGTGGAGGACACAGCCCATTAAGACCAACAACGGTCATACTACACACGCTGTGCTCTGTGGTATGTGTGTGGCTGCTGAGAAGCCAGGCAGGCAGACCAATACCGTCAGGGGTGGAAGGCTTCCTGGAAGAAGGGGCATTGAAGCTGGGAGTGGCTATTGTCATGAGTAAGAATTTCCCAGGGAAGGGAAAGGGGGAGGGCGGTTTTCCAGGGAGAAGGAGCCGCACCTGCAAAGGTGAATGGGAAGAAATGAGACATGAAGCTCTTAGCCCCACAGAGAAATGAATTTTTAGACACATATCCACAGCTCCCCTCTTAATGGATAGTTCTCTCTCTGCACCAGCAACTAGAGGATTTTCACATAAGAGGAAAAACCAGTGTGCTCTTGCATCCTGGGTGCTTCAGAGCCTTTATTTAACAAATAAAATGTTATATGTGCATTAATTGCCAAAAAAGGGGGGGGGACCATCCCCTAAACATATTCCACAAAACCAAAACAGAAAAATAACTGGGATTTGGGAAGGTCAGAACAACAACTCACAGTGGATTTTAAAATAAGCCAGTCACGCTGGGCTGGCAGTCCATCTCGGGTTCCCCACCATCATGCCTTCCCCGGAGCGGTGCCTCTCCTGCAGCCAGGAGCCCTGTGCATTCTAGAATGCTAAGGATTCCACATCCGGCACTGCAACCAGCTGCTGTGCTCGCAGGCCAAGTCCAGAATGTGCTGCTTCCGTTTCCCTTTTTAAGGCTGGGATAAAAATATTCAGAATGTTTTGAAGAATTCTGAGTTGTGGTTTCCTTGAGATTGGATTCTGACCTTGAGGCAGGATAAAAGAAGTAGCCTCGGCACGGGTTTCAAAGAGGTGTCCAGTACCTGCCCTTGACAGAGCGGATACCTGCAAACGGCCAGGTACCTGGCATCATTCTCCAGACAAGAATCCAGGCAGTCTTCTGGCCCAGGGAGGCCATATGACCTGGTGCCCTTGGGGGTTGCAGGAGCCTGTCTGTTGGAAGAAGGAGGACAGTCCCTTTGGTATTTGGGGACTGTGTCGGAGCAAGCACTTCTGAACCCAACTTTCCAGAGTCTCTCCTAGTCATCTCAGCAGCTGGAAATAAGAAATATTGAGGATCCCAAAAAGAGAGAGAGGGGAGGAGAAAGAGCAAAGTTTAGCAGAAAAATGAAAGTAAAGATAAGAAGAATCCATATATATTATCTGACTTCAAAACAAATTGAGAACCTGGGAATGTAGTGAACTACTTGCTTTGTAGTTCATGAACTTTACATGGGTTTCAAACCTATTTCTGTCCCCACCTCCATGTCTCCCTGACACACAGGGTACTGATTTTAGGCCAGTGTGGTTCGCCTTGGGGTCAGACAGGAATCACGATGATGCTTGGGGACGGTGTTTGGTGGATGGGTGAAATGTTCCCTTTCACCTGGTTACCTACCTCGGCAGTGCTGTGGTGCTGATGACCGGGGCCCGTGGGCAGCAATGATGCCACCAAACCCTCCATCGATAAGACTGGGACTGGGGATTTTCTTAGCTTGCCCAGTGAGAAAATGGCCCCTGATACAGCCAGCATCCTCATTTCCCTTATTTGTTAGCTGTATGACATTCTGTGCATGCTAGAGGGTTAGGTTTTGAGGGAAGGAAGTGGACAGTGCCACTGGACAATGGCTGTACTCCTGCGCCTAAGATCCAAGTCACCAAGTCAGTTAGATACTCACCTCTGAAACTCACTCCACTCCATAGGTTGTTCCTTGGAAATCGGCAACATGATAGCCTACTTCATACAATGGACAAGAACTTTCCTTTGATGGCGTTTGGTGACATGAGAGGCCATGGAAATGCAGTTGCTGGGCCATACAGTAGCTTTCTCAGCAGACAGATTTTGGGGCTCCCCTCTGGGATTCTGATTGGGTAGATATGTGGCAGGACCCCAGAATCTAAATGTTTAATATGCTATGCTCCCCACTTCCTTTCACCGTGGGACCCTCTGACCAAGGGTCAGTGTCATTAATAGAGCAAACCCCCTCAAATCCTGTCTTCAGTTCTTTGAAGAGCTGTTATTTCAAGACCAGTTAGCCTAGCGCATTTTGATAGCTTTCTCACTTGGGGATACCACCAGCAATGTACGAGACGAAGTTATAATATGCTCCTTCTGTTACGGAGCATAAAGTCCTATACTGATCAAATCATCCAGACCTATCCTGATCACAGATCCTCACAGTGGGACATATTATAAAAGGTTTTTCAGTCCAGTCCTCCAAAGTAAAGCTGCTTATTTTTTTCTATATAGAATGCTGTCAAATAATCATTGAATTTAGCTTAAATCCCTCCACAGCTGGGACCTTCCGTAGATGAGTCCACACTGACGTTGGGAAGTTCTCTCTTCAGGCAGACCACGGGCCAACTCCTCTCTGAATACGCTGAGCTTTGGAAATCGCCTCAACCACCTAGTGAAGGGTTGGGAGTCAGCATTAGTTGTCCATGACTACTTGCTATTCATAATTACTGTCTATTTTGTTAGTGACACTGAATATCAAACTGCCCCAGCTAAGCTGCAAACCAGCATGTCCCTTCAGTGAAGTTTACCCATTTGCAAATAGGAGCCCCAACACATTGCATTGTTTCACCAGAAAGAGCTGGGCAAATTTACACTGGAATGGTTTCAAAAGGTTGGTGTATATTTCTGAACAAGATGTACAAATATTTTTAGGGGTTTTAAAAATAATGTGTCATATTTTCTGTACTCTTCTTAGGAACAGTCTCAGTGAAGAAAAAAAAAAGGTGGATTTTGACAATGTGACGTTTAGTGGGGTTGTTTTTTTGAGGCTGAAATATTAAAACCAAATATGCCAGTGGTGAAGTAAAGGGTCTATTTGTTATCTATCAGTACGAGAGGAAAGGCCCAGAGTGTTATTGTGAATAACATTCTTTTAACAAAGCTCCTTTATTTTCTACCTGTTGATTTGACAAATGAATATCAAGATAATGTCTTAGAACGTTACTATATATACATACATTTCCCTTTTCAGTTAATGAAGTAGCCTGGAAAGTTGACAAACTCAGAAGCATCTATGTTTTTGAGGGGGTGGAGGGAGTATTAATATAAAACCGTGTGACTTGAGCTGTTTGCATTATTAATTGATGTTTATTTCAATTCATTTCATGTGATTATTTTGTTTATTAGATCAAAGAGTTTAAGATTTATTATGAAAAAGGTCTTTCCTTTTTTTTTAGGCTTCTAATTTTTATTTTTGAGAAGTAAAGGCTGTAAAATTGACAAATTTGAATAACCCTAAAATTGCATGAAGAAGAGATGTTCTTAAGACCACACGGCATGACTCTGTAGGCAATGTTAGAAGATTTTGGCATTCATTGTTGAATTCCGTGCACACGTTTTATTTTATTTCATTCTTAATTTGCATGTCAAGAAAGTGGTTCCCTTTTTTTTTCCTCGTTATTTCGTTTTCTTCTCTGTGAAGACACTGTAAATTTATTTTGATCTCCTTTTCTTTCCGTTAGACTTATTTTCTTCTGTAGTGACATTTAGAAAGGTATTTTTTTGGTATCATTCTTTGAATAATCTTCAGGGGTTACAGCTAACTGGTGACAGAAAAAAAACAATCTCGTTCACATTTGTCGCTTACTTATTGCACATCTTCGTATTCTTATAATTTCTCTAATTTGCATGTTACAGAACTGAAGCCAGGACAAGACCTAGAAATTAAAGCGAGAGAACGTTACGCAGTGGTCGTTGACTGGAATAATAATCTGCATGTTGTTTTCCCTTCTCCCTCCTGCATGCAGGGATTTGGTTTCGTAACTTTCGAAAATAGTGCCGATGCGGACAGGGCGAGGGAGAAATTACACGGCACCGTGGTAGAGGGCCGTAAAATCGAGGTGCATGTCCAAAATATTTTCCTTTACATCTTCTTTATCAATGTCTGCTTCACGCTCATTCGTTGTTCCAGATGCATCATTGTGTCTTGTATGTGATCCTACTCCCTTCTCATTGTTTATATATATCTCTATATATTTATATATAAAAAGGAAAACTGGCCTTACTTTTTTTTTAAATTTTACTTTATTGTGTTATTCTTATTACCGATGAAAGGTGAATGGCAAAAGTGAGACAAAAGAAAGGTGACTCTGAACTTTTTTTAAAAAATTTTCTGTGTTTTGTCATCAATGGGTGCAGTAGATTCCAAACAGTCGAGACAGTATGCAAAACAAAACAAAATACAAGGCAGTTTTTTTTTTTTCCTTTTCTTTTTCTTTCCACTGCAGGGTTGACGAGGGATCCACAGTGGTGTCCAAATTGAGCCAAATTGTGAAAGCAGTATCATTCGGAGGAATGAATGTTTAAAGAAAAAAAAAAAAAAACTGAGAGGTCTTTGTCATGGAACCTTTCTTTTTTTTTTTTTTTTTTGGTTTGTTTAAGAAGCCAGTTTGATCTTTGCACTCTTTTGATAATAAAGTGGATAACCAAACAGGATTTCCTGTTCAATATCTGGCCACTCTTCACTGGATGGATAAATAAATAAATAAATAAATGCTAAAATTTCAAGACTTAGAATCTATTCTTTCTACCACTGGATCTCCCTCAACATGGCCACAGGGTTATATTTGTTAAAACTTAAAAAAAAAAAATACCAGTTAAAAATGCTTTAGTCTTTGGAGTAAGATGTTGCATATTTTGCCTTTCGTTTTCCCCCCTCGACGATAACGCTTAGGCCCCTCACCAAACTCTCAGTAACCATGGTAACTGTATACAAACCCATGCTGGCGATGGTGGTGAATGGTAAGTGGTGAAGTCCATCTGCCGCTTCACGTATTTAGTGCTGATTATCTATATACATATATATACCACGTGGATTTTTTTGACTTGTCGTATTAAGTTTTCTTGATGCTCTATTTTTTTGGGTACCGGTACGCCTGTAATTGAGTGTACGTTCTAAGCGAGCCTGGGAGGCAATGACTGGATTGAGATATGACAGTGCACATCTTACTCAGATTGTTAACTCCATATTGTGTTAAACAATGCACCCTCTCTTTTATCCTTTTGTTAGCTGTGACTTTAAAGCTTGAATGATCTTGTTAATTCTTGCGATGTAAAGGCTCTTGTTCCAAGTGTTGAATGCTAGATGTTGCTTTCCTGATGGTCCTTCCCTCCTAAAGTGTTGCACACGGCTAAATCTTGTTTGTCCCTCCTTTTTTTTTTTTTTTTGACATTTATGTTCCCTTGTACCTTGTCTCTCCCCTCTTCTACTCCACTGCATGTTCCTTCATATGAATTTTATTTTGTTTAAAAATATTTATTGTTTCTGTGTTACCATGGAGTACACGCATGCTTTTAAATCTTCAATTATGCAGTTCCTTTTAATTTGCTTTTACTGTCTCCTTATTAAACTTTTAAATGATATGACATTGCTTTATTGAAATGATTTGTAAGTTAAAATGGTTATGAAGTAAATGTAATTATAAAAATGTATGATTTTGTTATGCACCTACTGCCTTTTATAAATTAAAATGCATTTTAGTTTTTTTTTTTAATAAGTAATCACAGTCATAATGCATGCAACTAATTGAACTGTGGGCTGGCCCTGGCATATGTGCTCATTTGAGTTTTCTATGTACATAGGTAAATAATGCCACAGCACGTGTAATGACAAATAAAAAGACTGTCAACCCTTATACAAATGGTAAGTAGAGATTGGCCTTTTCAAGAAAGCATCCCTACCTCTGAATCTGTTAAGTAATTTAACCACAGAATATGTTTCAGCAAGCCTTCTTAGTCTCAGTGTGACTACTATGTATTTGCTGCTGACCTGCTACAGTGAACCACCTGAAGCAATAGGACATTTTTCAATGGCTACACTGATTGTGGGGAGCACTGAGTAATGGACAGAGTTATCAAATCACTGTGTCATATGTCTAAAATATAGCGCTGTATGCCAACTAGACTTCAATAATTTTTTGATAGATTTTATTTATTTATTCGAGACACACAGAGAGACAGAGAGAGAGAGAGAGAGAGAGAGAGAGAGAGAGAGGCAGAGGGAGAAGCAGGCTCCATGCAGGGAGTCTGATGTGGGACTCGATCCCAGGTCTCCAGGATCATGCCCTGGGCTGAAGGCAGCACTAAACCACTAAGCCCCTGGGGCTGCCCAATAATAATGTTTTCAAAAGATAATTTTCACAATAGAGGCAAATTTAGTTTTCAGGTACAGTGTACATGCTCTTCCTCTAATCTTTCTAGAGTAACTCCCTTTTGAGATGAGATACAGTAATTATTCAGGGATGACTTGGTCATTTAATTTGCTGTTAGAATAGTAAGTTGAGGGAGGATGGAGGTTTTGTTAGTAGCCCTTTTTCTTCCACCACCAACCTCCTTGTTGCTCCATGTTCTGGAAGAGGGACTGGAGAATTTGGTTCTGGCATTGAGTCTTCTCTGGAGCTGTTAGGATTTTGAAGTGGCTTAGAGGGGGCTTCCTGATGAGCTCCATACAATGAGTCCAGTATTTGCTTTCCTCTGGGTTGCCCAGTGCTGTTTCGAGCTTGATGAGATGTTGCGCAAACTGCAGACCCCTTCAGGACAGTGCATCTCTGCTCTTCCTAACCAAGAAGCTGTCTCAAACGCCTCACAATAAGAATTCACATATATAACAAGAGTTGAAGGCATTTGACCATCTTGATTCTTTAATCCTTGTCAGAATGCTTCTCTCTTAAGATATATGGGGGTTGAGGGGATGTGGAAGCTGCTGATATGCTAATCACATATGTAATTGTACCAAAAAGCTAGGAAGAATATAATTCATATGTTAAAGTATATATACTTAGTGGAATATTATGCTCATTAAAATGAGCAAGATGAGAACTATGCAAGGCCCCCCTAATGAATGAAAAATTTTATAATGAAGAAGTATAGCATGATTTCAACTAAATAATGAAAGGCATTACATCAAAATGCTAATAGTTGAGTTGAACTGTAAAACTGGAAGGTATTTTTTCCTTTGTTTTGTAGATTTTAAAAAATAATATAATTTTATTACTGTGATAAAGGAAAATGTATGAAATTTTCCATTTTTAATATTTTAATTACATGTGAAAGATTAAATATATTTGTCATAATGCCACTGCCAGCCTGGTATCCTACCTTCCCCTCAGAAGAAACCACCATTATAGATTATTGTCTGTACTTTGCATTTTTATGCATATACATATAATAAAAAAATTTATGCATATAAATATAATAAAAATATAAAAAATAAAAATATAATAAGTATACTTATATAGTATTCAGAGTATTGTTTATATGCTTTTTATATAAATGATATCATGGTGTGCACATCATTTTTAATTGACTTTTATAAATCAATATGGAGTTCTTTCAATGTTAATACATACAGACCAAATTCATTCTTTTATTTTTTATTTTTTTATTTTTTTATTGGTGTTCAATTTGCCAACATATAGCATATCACCCAGTGCTCATCCCATCAAGTGCCCCCCTCAGTGCCTGTCACTCAGTCACCCCAACCCCCTCCCAACTCCCTTTCCACTACCCCTTGTTCATTTCCCAGAGTTAGGAGTCTCTCATGTTCTGTCACCCTCACTGATATTTTCACTCATTTTCTCTCCTTTCCCCTTTATCTCCTTTCACTATTTTTTATATTCCCCAAGTGAGTGAGACCATGTAATGTTTGTCCTTCTCTGATTAACTTATTTCACTCAGCATAATACCCTCCAGGTCCGTCCACGTTGAAGCAAATGGTGGGTATTCGTCATTCCTAATGGCTGAGTAATATTCCATTGTTTACATATACCACATCTTCTCTATCCATTCATCTTTTGATGGACACCAAGGCTCCTTCCACGGTTTGGCTACTGCGGACATTGCTGCTATAAACACTGAGGTGCAGGTGTTCCGGCGTTTCACTGCATCTGTATCTTTGGGGTAAATCCCCAGCAGTGCAGTTGCTGGGTCGTAGGGAAGCTCTATTTATTCTTTTTAGTGATTATATAGTGATCGATGAAATGGATATATGGATTTATTCTTACCTTCCACACGATTGACATTGAAATTTTTGTTATTGTTGTTATAAACAATAGTATTAGCATTTAGTGGTTTTGTTTATGTTTTCTTCTGCCAATGACTGCCAATTTGGCTAAATCAATCTGTTCTTATTTTTAAAAGAAGCACCATTAAACAGAGATATACTCTCAATAGACTAGGGCTCCAACTGCAAAAATCAGAAGAATTATTTATTCTGCTGACCCATTTTTCCAGCTCCAACAACCCAAGATGTGGCTTTAAACAGTATAGAAAATTTCCACAACAGACTTTTAATGCCCAGTACTGAAATGAAGCATATTCTGATTTATGTATCATGAAGCTTTTCTACTTGGTAAAAATGATAGCTCTGCAACTTGCCAGAGTTAATATGTGATGACATCAACGTGACTATTGGGCATTTCCTTTAATAATGAAGCAGCAACTGTGTGTGTGTGTGTGTGTGTGTGTGTGCTGAGTTGTGCTGTTTATGTGAGAAAATGAAACAAAGGAAGCCAAATATTATTTCTTAAGCCATGTGGATGCATATTTATTTTAAAGAAAGAGCTATTGATCAGTGTGCTACTGAGGAGTTGAAAACTAGCCCAGTGGAATTTGGGGACACAATTCATTAATAGCCAACATTTCTGGAACACTGACCATATGACATTATGTAAACATTTTAAATGCACTGGGCCCATATGAAGCCCTACAAAGAAGACATTCTTATACCTATTTTAAAGAGGCAAAAATTGAGGCTAATAGAGATAAAGTCATTAGTGAACTCTTTCCCTTTTATTATGAAGTAACAAATCTTGTGGTCATGCCTGTGTATATGCAAGAACATCACTTCCCCTCCATCATCTTTACAGAACTGCACACAAATGGCAACTGACCACAATATGAAAAGATTATTGAATTTTCAGCCCTGAATGCCTGTTTTTGTGGTGTAAACATCCCATATCACATTCCGGGTAGCCATGCGTTCTTAGTTTCTGGGAATAAGTCATGTGGGTTGCTCATCCATGTACCTGAAAGGGGGCACTCAAAGGGCTTATCCTGTCACATGGACTGAGTATGGGACTCAAAGGATGGATGGACAGTAACAGCAGAACTGACTTAAGAAGCAAATACAAATCCTAATTACATAAAGCAGCTGGATTCTATAGAAGACATTGTGGAAGCTGTTAGTATTTAAAGAAAAGCAATGCTCAAAGCTTTTCCAATCCATAAGTCATATCATCGCTACAAATAACTGTTCCCATAAATTACAATACAACAAAAGATATTTTGATATCTGATAGAGCCCTCTCAGATCCTTAACAAAAGTGACTATGTTAAGAGGGGATATTATCACCACAGGAAGGAAGGAAGGAAGGAAGGAAGGAAGGAAGGAAGGAAGGAGGAAGGAAGGAAGGGGAAGAAAGAACTTACTACATGAGATAATGAATATGTAAATTAGCTTGATTGTGGTGTGATCTTGCAGTGTATATGTAATGTCAAATCTACAAGTTATACACCTTAAATATGTACAAATTTTAGTTGTCAAATATACCTCAGTAAACCTAGGGGTGGGGAAGAGAAGATAAGTCAAGACCCATGGAATCAAATCAAAATGAGAAAAGTGAGTGATCAGTGAGATTCATGTATTAGCTGCCTGGTTCATCCTCACAAACCACCAACTTACACTTCAGCAAATAATACCTTCCTAGAGTCATCACATTTTGAGGTCATCTTCACATGGTGAAATGTCATTGTCAGTGCCACCATCATATCTATGCACTCCTGCAGACACATGTCCAACAAGAACTTAACCAGCCACGAAGTTTCCAGTTATGAGTAAGACTGGACCCTAAATGCAAGCAGACTCTGCTATACCATCATCACAACATTATATTTCCTAGGACATTTGAACTTGGATGTAAGAGAAAATGTATAGAATGACATACCAGGGTCTGCAAATACTATCCACCAGAGAGCTTCACAAAGAGGGAACTGGGCTACTCCTATACTGCTAATTTCTCCTGAAGATAGCAGCCCTCAGACCAGAGCAGAGGCTCATTCTTCTCATTGCAGATCAAATGTTTATAGTACAAAGCAAGTTGAGAACCAAATTCTCAGGGATTCCCTGGATGTTGGAGAAACATGGGTGTTGGAGGTGGATCTTTTTTTCCCTCAGCTTAGGAAGGATAAAAGTTGAACCAAAACAATCAAAGGTTATAGAGAGAAAAGTAGAGTTTGTATCAGCTCTGCCTTTCACTGGCTGCTGGATTCTGGTGAGTTGTTTAAACCCTCCACACACCAGTGTTCTTAAGTGGAAACTGAGATAGAATGGGACCTACTATCTAGGTGTCTTTGTGCTTTTTATGAAGTTAAGTACTCAGCATAGGGCCAGGGGTACAGAATGCCCTAAAAAATTTAATTCTGTGATAATCTCAATAATAAGTAGTCATCTTGTTTCTTTCTTCTTTTTTTTTTTTTGCTATAGATAGTAAGTTGAATTTCCTGATAGACATACTAATTTAAGGATCAAATATTCAGATGCTAACAGAGCCTAGGCAGGTAAAATAGAGGAGCAAACAGAGAGGGTCTGAAAGACTCACATTCTTTTTTAACCGTCTTCCATGTTTATAAAAGGAAAAGCAAAATATTTCTCTACTAGAAGAAAAAGCAGGACAGGATAATAATAAAAGACTGCTGACATTCAGCCTCCAAGCCAGACATGCAATAGGGAGCATGGGTGTCTGTGGCTAACTGGGGGTTAGGTGGAGTTGTCCCTGGTCACCTCCAGCAAATTGGTCTGTATGGGATTCTTTATCTAAAGTTGGCTATTTCTACTGAACTTTCAAGAAAACCAGAAATCCTGTATCTTAATGAAATCTGAATGTTAGCCATGAATATATGTTGCAAAAAAAAAAAAAAAAGCGGGCAAACCAAACACAATGTGCACTTAGTTTTTCATTTTGGGTGTTGCCTTATGCACCACTTCAACTACCAAGACCTTGGCATCCTCAGTAGCTGTCTTCAGAAAGCACTAGTATGCAGTTCCGGAAACCCCTGTGGTGTATTTAAGGGTGTTTTCTTGAATGTGTTTCTTTGATATCCAACCCAGCAAAGCCCTAGAGAAGACATGTGCAGGTTTTTTGTATGCACATTCAGACTTGCCTTTTAACATCTAATACAGCCATAGTTAACACTGGCGAGCTTGGGCAGCATTTTTCTACAACAGGCTGGCAGACGACCTTTGAGAAGCTAAATTTGAGGAGGGGAGGGCTAATTTGGATGCAGCCCCCAGTGGCCCAGCCACAGAGGAATCTCTCTACACAGCTCCTGTGTCTGATTGGTCTCTGCTCCATCGCCTTGTTGTATGGGCGGCCCTGGGAGGCTGGGAGCAGTGGGCTTTATCAGCTGTTCTCTTTTGTTGTAAGCCTCATTGTTCAATTTAATGTCCCTGATCAAAATCTCTGAATTTGCAAGGCCTGAGGATGTACACAGACTTCCTGAGAACTTAAAACTGGGATCACTTGGTCCACCTTCCTGACAGTGCAGTCTCCTGTCTCCAGCAGGGTTATCCCAAGGGTCTCTTCCAGGTACTACAGGAAGGAGTCACAGGGACTACAAGGCTATTTGCATATGGTTTGCATACATTTACATAAGCCTGCATGAGCTCTGTAAGTCTGAGCAGGGGTGATTCTGAAGGTCTGGATTCTTATTTACTCTGCCTTGAAGACAGTCACCCCTAACAGGGTCCTTCTTTATTAGATGTATATCAAGAAGCAGGTCACTGGAGGTTGGAAGGAGATAGAATCCTAGCCAAAAGGGAATAAGTCCATTAGAAAAAGCTCTCTATTCCTTCTGTTCATTTAGAGCAAAACTAAGTAAATATTTATGGAGCACTGACTATTTGCCAAATGCAGTTTTAGGTGCTGGGAATTCACATTGGAGAGCAGTCCTGTTCACTTGACCATTAATTTTAATGAACGAGAATGGTAATAAAAACAATTAAGAACGAGAAAGAAAAAAAAGATAAACCCAGGTAGTATTAAGAGCTATGCAAAAAACAACACAGGGAATTGAATGAGGGCATAGCTCAAGGGGATGGAGGTGGCATTGAGTATTCTGCTCTGGGAAGACACTGGAGACGTTCATAATATCAGGTCAACTTTGCCAGAAGCTGGGGAGAGTTCTCCAAGCACAGAGAGCAGTGGATATAAACCAGAATGATCTACATTGATCTAGAATGATCTTGGGTGGTTTTATAAATATTTAAAATTATAAAAAATAATAATAATAATAAAATTATAATGTCTCTGTAGTTTGGAGAGAAGGAAACCATGCTATGAAATAAACAGACAGTGGTTAGGTTGTGCGGGTTGTGGGTCAAGGTTACAGTTTGTGTTCTTCTAAGTTCAGAAGGAAGCTATTGAATTTTGAGTAGCGGAATGACATATCTGATCTACTTTTTTACAATTCGCTTGGCCACTAGGAATAGAGTGGGTAAAGGGAGGAAGGAGAAGAGAAGGAATGGGAAGAGATGGAGCATGTTTGCATTGGGTCTCCTCCAGGTGAGGAATAGAAGTGTCTTGGCCTGGGATGGTGCCAATGGAGAGGAATGGAATGAGAGCATGGAAATGTCTTTTCAAAGTTTAACCAATAGGATTTTCTGGTGGATCGTACATGGCATATGAGGGTAAAGGGAGAATCAAGTAATTACGTATCAATAATTTTGCTCTGAGGAACCAAGCAGATGAGAGATGACATTTGCTGAAGTAGAGAGACTTGGTGAGGAGTGGGCTGCAGGGAAGAAGGGGGATAAGAAGTTGTGTTGTGCCTGTAATGTGGATCAGAAAGTCCTCTGTTTTCTCAGCAGTGGAAGCAGCATTGTTTAGGAGGAAGGACCACTGATGGGGAGCAGGGCAAAATCTGCAATGATGTTCCCATGACATTTCATTTTGCTGCTCACAGATCCCAAGCTGGTTTCTTGTAAAGGAGACCTTACCAATGACCTTATTCAATTAATACTGGCAGACATGAGATGGCACATATCTCTTAATGAGAGAGAGTATTGTTTACATATTGAATGAAAGTTTTCCATGAATAGACACAATAAACTGATAGGTAGTTGGTGAATAGATAGATAATGGCATTAAGTAGCCTGCCCTGGGAACACTGGAGGTCTAAATAGCATCAGGTAAATTTTGCCAAGAGCTGATCAATCAATTGATAGATAGGTAGATGAATAGATGAAAGAAAAAGAGGATAGAAATATGATAGATGAATAGATTGATCAATGGATAGATAGATAGATAGATAGATAGATAGATAGATAGATAAGACTTCAAGGAAATGAGAATAAAGCCAGATAAGAAAAACATGATTAAACATAGTCTTAGATACATCTGAAAAATGTGTTTCTTTGAGAAAATGAAAGACCATTGGCATAACTTACAATCTTTGAGAGTTCCATCAAAATTAATCAGTGGGTCCACATTCAGCAAATGGTGTATCCCAGTCCTGTGTGGAAAAGGAAGTACTTACGGGAGTTAATAAGGACATATACAAAAAATAAAACCTAATTTCAATAGTGACAAAAAGATCCTGTCTCCACCACCAGTAGAAAATAGGGACATGAGCAGGGTGTAAGATGGGGAGCAGAGAGATGAAGAAAAAGAATGACAAACTCATACCTGAATTATTCATTTAATATGGGTCCTTGTATACTTCTTTCATGAACTCTAGATTTCTCTGAAGGACAATGGAGGGAGAACATTAAACATGTCCAGATAATCCTGAAGCTTTATATTCAACAAGTTTGCTCTATTTTCTGTTTGATTCCAAAGACTTGAAATGTGGACATTAGTCCCAGATCCCCAGAAATTGGGTGTTTTCTTTTTTTTAGGAAGTAGTAGAATTTTAGTTGGTCAAACTGAAGTCATTTTCCACATTCATAAAACATATTTTCGGAAATAGGCCAGGTAATTTTTATTTTCATCTCACTTTAGAAATTCCTATATGATAAGATGTGGTTAATGTAAGAGAAGAAGGTGTCAGTCAGAAACTGTTGGGACAACATATCTCAGAATTTTATGTTTCTTTCTGGTGACATGGGGCCAGATGTTTCCATTAATAAGCCTCCCAGGGATGCAAGCATAGCACTTTGAAAAAATCCTATCCTAAGACCATCCTGGGGACTGTAAACTAGGTAGCTTGTTCAAGTTGGATGAAAGTTCTTAGAAACAAAAAATTCTTAGAAAGTTCTTTGGTCCATCTATGGTGCTATCTATTGAGCTATTGAGCCTCTGTCTTCCTTAGGGGAATCTGTAGATTGTGGCCACCTCTTGGCTGTTCTTACAGGTGCATCACTCAGGTCAGATGATAGGACATCATACCTCTCCTTTCTGGGAAAAGCTCTCCTTAGCAGAAATACCTTCTCTCGCATCCCAACCTTTATCATTGCTTTTTCTCAGAAGCATATATGAAAGGACCTCTGGTGTTTGACCTTCAGCCCAAAGACACAAGGTTTTCCACAAAAAACAACACGCCTGCCCTTCACTGTCTCTCAGGAATTCTGTAAGAATGGATGTTTTCATAAAAATTTACCAGCAAGAGCAGGAAATAATTACCAAACCCTAAAACGTGACCATTCTTTGGAGGTTGTTCCTTAAATGATGCCCAATGGCTATGCAATGTGCACGCTTCTCAATTTGCAAATATTCTTGTATGCTTTTTTCTTGAGTAAAAGTTCCTAAGGGGCTAGGATTCATTTTACAGAAAATGCTCCATCCAGAACACTGGGAAAATTACAGGATTCTGTTAATCTGCTATACAGGTTGTTTGAAAGTTACCTTAGATATCATGCATTGATTAAGAATTTTTATGGTTCCTGAATGCACTGAAATGTATTCCATACTTAATCTCTAGTGGATAAATGTCATTTTCTTTGGGATGTAAAAAGCACTTCAGAATTCTCTGGGTCATAATTAGGAATGACAATTATCAGAATATGTTGCCGCAAAGAATTCTGTTTATGAGCTTTCAAATTTTTGTGAACGTAACATGGGGGGGACATACGATGGATTATGTAGCCGTGATCCATGAAAGAAGACCAAAAATTGAAATTATTATAGTGGTTCTAGAAAACATTGATATGGGAGAAAATTAATTACCACATCATTTTCCCAAAGTTCACCTGTAGACGGTCAGTAGTTTCCATACTATTAACTTATGTCGGCAGCAAATCAAAAGCATAAATCTATTTTTCCAGGTATAGGTTTCAAATCATTTTTATGCATTCCCAAACTGTATATCCTCTAAATAGAAAATAAAAAATTACAACAACCCATTTGATTTGTGGTTCACTTGCCGTGATAGGAGTTGTTGAAACAAATGTGGTAATAATGTTTTTTTTTTTCTTTTGTATTTGTTTTAAGGCTGGAAATTGAATCCAGTTGTGGGTGCGGTCTACAGCCCCGAATTCTATGCAGGTAAAGAGTTCCTCTTTGCATGACTTCTTTGTTCTGAATGTGTTTTGCCTGCCAGTAAAGAACAGTTTTCATGAAGTAATCTGAACTAAGTAAATCCCTCTCTTAAGAAGTTTTGAAGGATTTTTTTTTTAAGCAAAACCAAAAGTGTTTAAAACCCTTTAAATATATAAAGGGGAATCAGATCCGTGCATTACACTGTGGAGTACGCATGAAGCCACTTCTTACAACATTTTACATTGATTTTGCCTCCGAAAAGCATTGAGACTTGTTTGAGGGCATATTGAATAAACGCAGAGCTGTTCGTGCCCATTTTATTTCAGTAGGCCTGGGTGTGGTTTTTAGCCATACATCTCCACTCAGGGTTGCCTTTCTTTTTTTCTTGGCAAAGCAGAGAGTTGGCTCACTTATTCTAATAATGTGGCAGTGGGTTGAAAGTGCCAAGAGAAGGATTATATAGGAAAAAAAAAAAAAACAAAGTGGTCTTTCTCCATTATTCAGTTGTCCTTACCAATTCCATGTCTCTCTGCTTTGCCTTCCAGGGTAGGTGTCTCCCCTCGCCCCTTCCTTGCTACCCGCCAACTACAGGTTGATCAGGAAATCAGTGTAGAAAGCTCGTTTGTCACAGTTTGGGAGAGGATAACCCAGAAGCAGCAGTGCGGAGCTTTTGGCTCTGGTTGACGTGTTACTTCTGGCTGTTAGCCCCTTGTTCGTTAGCAAGGCTGCCTTTAGCACCGTAGAACTTTAGTAGGTTTGCCACATGGGAGCTTAAAAGAACTCTTTCTTTGATGGGGCCCTTGCTCTTTAATAAGAAGAAATAAGTGACCAGTTGGCCTAGATCCTCTCACTTAGGGACCTCTTCACGGTAAGTCCACCCCCTCGCTTGGTCTCTCCTGGGATGCCATCTGTCTTTTCCTCATCATGGATCAACCCTAGTGTACGACGGAGCAACACAAGGCACTTGGATGGCTCCTTGGGCATAGTAACCCGCTTGACAAAGAAAAAAATGGTTCATCTGGGAAGGCCCAATATGACAGCTAGGTTCTGGATTTTTGGTAGGCTATGTTTGTTCTTCACATGTGACTTCTACCACAAGCCTGGGTCAATTCCAGCGATTCTCTTACTGTGAAGTAGCTGTGTTGACTTTTCTGGGGGAGGAAAGTCTTAGCTAGCTATAAGGCTTTCTGTGATTATATGGTGGAACCCACCTTCTGAGAGGACATTTAGCAAAGTGAGGATTGTAGACACCGTACTCAGACAGCCCAGGTTCAAATCCTGGCCCCTCTACTTGCCAGCTGTGTGACTCTAGGCAAGTTACTTAACCTCTCTGTGCCTCAGTATCTTCATCTGTTAAATGGGAGATAATAGTAGTAACAAACTCACAGGTGTCTTTTAGCATTAGATGGGTTAATACATGAGGAGTGTTTGGTGCACAGCCAGCACCACATAAAGTCTGGCCAAATAAAAAGAAGTAAGTTAATGTTCCACCTCTCTGCCATAAGGGGAAAATGAATGGAGAACTGATTGTGCTGAATTCTGAGTAAACCACTAAACTAAGAGATTCTTTTCTTAATACATGAGAGGACTGGTCCTCCTGTTGTCAGCATGTCCATTTGAGGGAAGTTAGTTTCTGGGGTCGGGGGCAAGGCAGTCTGTTTGGGGGGCACAGACACTGCTGAAGTACATCCTTGTCCAAAGCTGCATAAAAAGGGCATCCCTCACAAGGGCATGGAGGAAGCCAGACGGCAGCTTCCATGCATCTGCCTCATGAAACGGAGTAGCAGGGATAACGCACTGGCACGTCCTCTGCAAGCGTGTGTACCTGGCTACTTGCACAGTTTCTCCCCAGAATAATGGGTCAAGGACAAGAAACGAGAAGTCATCTGATGAAGAGGGAGGATATAAATGAGGCCCTTGGGTTGGAGAGAGGGAGTTCATGTCTCTGGTCCCGTGCAGTGTAGCTGCTGGTCTTCTGGCTTGAGCCACCAAGAAACCCCCAGACATCTCCTTTATATGTGATTTCAAAGCTATGCGTATCTGTGGGTGTTTAAAAGGACATTAAGACAGAAGAAACCCTTCAACTGACTTGTATATGCAAGAATAAATTAATCAGCATGACTTTGAGGACATTAGAGCAGCCATTCAGATTAGCCCTGAGCCTGGCTGCAGAAGTTAGATCATGGGACTCTTGGAAAAGAATAAGTTATAATACAGATTAATATTTACTGAGTATTATCTGCGGGCAGGCACGGTTCTTTCTAAGCACTTTACCTGAGTTAATGTATTTAAATCCTCATGGCAGTTTTCCAGATGAGAAAACTAAGGTAACTTAGCACTAAATGGCTAAGATTTCAAGCGGGTAAGAAGCTGGCTCGAGTTTGAAATCAGGAGCCTGTGTTCCTTACAACTGGGTTACATACTGCCTCTTTGTTTTTTGGGAATATTGAAAGTCATAATTCTTACTGACTGTGTCCTACGATGGTAGATCAGACTACTGCCCTGTGTCCAAACCAGTCAAATTAAAGAAGAGTAGTAGGATGGAATTTTGGATTATTCCAACTGCCACCAATGCTACTGATCCTTTCCCCACCCTCCCACCCCCCCCCCCACTACCTCCTCCTCCATATTCAGAGTAGTTAACTGGTTGTGTCAGGGGCAATTTTAAGGATTCTGGACAAGGAAATAATTATTTCTGAGGTGCTCCAATAAACTTAAATCTAAAAAGAAAAGGAAGGGGACATGAATACATAAGTGTTACTTGAGAAATCTTTTAAGACTGCTAGTATTGCCAATATGATGAACTACCCTTAATAATCAGAAGCCTTTCCTTTTGCCTAAATTATCTATATATGTAAGTAAATAGAGTTCATGATATTCAGAAATGTGGGGAAATGCTGCCAATCCAACATTCCAGAACAATTCCTTTGAAATCTTTGAAGACCCTTAAAGAATCCCGCTAGCTTAAATCTCAAGTTTACAGACCCCTATACTGATGGAGATGCAAATGTAGATGTTGCATGTATTCATTTCCCTATGGAGGTATAATTACTAATGTCATCCATTTGAATATCCATGCCTAAGGATTTAGGGGGCTTTTTTGAATTTCTCCAACTATAAACATAGTCTGGATTTATCTTGCAGTTTCGAGTGTGCCTCAAAGCTGAAATGAAGACCTTGTCATTGATTTGCTGAGGATATTTAGCAGGCTAGCCCTGTATCTGCCTGAGCTAGAAAGCCAGGCTTATTAGGCACTCCTATATATAAGATTTTGTATTAATGACGAATATCATAATATTCCCATAGTATAATTATCGATTTTCTGAAGCTTATGCAGAATTAACAACCCAGCCTCCAATTGTCTCTCAGAACGGGGCATGAAAAGTTCACATATTTTGTAAATTAAAATCAATATTTTCAATCTCTCCTAAAGGTAATTTTCCTAATTTAGTGGACTTTTCCCTAACATTTATTTTCTCTTTAATTATAAAATGGCAGGTTATTGATTTTCGTATATAACCTCTTGACACCCTGAGTGCATTTTTATTGCTAACTCGGGGTGGGGGTGCAGAGGGCAGGAGCACCTCTTAATGAGGATCTTTAATTACTAGCAGAACAGTATTAATTTGCTTTGATAAATTATGACACACACTCTCCCTTGCGCACACATTCCAGAGAAAGCATTTAGAAAGCTGTTATGAAAGGCCTTTCATTTCGGGTGTTTTTTCTGAACTCTTACCGAGTCCTACCCAGAAGAAGGCTTACCCAACACCAGTCTTCAGAAGCAGATATGCATAAATCAGTACATCCCATAAACCCACGTAAATCTTCTCCAAAGACAAGTGGGTGTTTTCCTACAAAGCTACACAGCGTTGATTATTTTGCCTACATCTAATCATCTTCAGCCTCCTTGGGGCTTATTCTCAAGATAAATGGTTGATAAGTCAATTAAAAAAAATGCCCAGGTGGATCTCGAAGCCAATATCTAAGACCATTCCATTTCAGACTTTTTAAAAATTTGAAGGCAATAAATAGAAGTATAGTATCTGCAAATATCTGTTTCCAGTAGCATGCTTCAAGTTACTTAGTATAATTAGAAATAGTGTTTCTAAGAATCTCAATGAGGAGGCCTCAAAGGAGCTTCTTACAAGTCCCCCATCATTGTGAGAAGTTCCACCGCCATCTAATAAAAAGATTAAAAGAAACAGTGGTGTCTGTTAGGGAGAATCATGATATCTAGCCAATGAAACTGTTGAGGGAAAGCAAGCACCTTTAATCTTCATACATAAGTAAAACAAAATAAAAATAAATAACAGAAGGTTATACACACTTGTCGACGTAGGACTGACAAATGGCAGATCCGTCCGTCTCTCAATTGCCGGTAAGATGGCTGCAAAGCTCACCCATGCTGTATATCATATCTGCCAACTCATTTCTGTGATTAAATATTCCATCAGTGGGGCTATAAGGCGGCAAAGCTTAACAAGATTCATAAGATGCACCACTTGAACACACATAACTCACTTCCATGGATGGAGAGCACCCCGCCTGCAAAGGAAAATTGGAATTGAGGTAAATTACTCCACGAGTCATGATCAATAGGGAAAGGAAAAGATCTACCAATGCAGTGCAGATCTAAGATATAGTTAGGTCCCGATGACAACAGACACACAATTAAAGTCAAAAGTAGAGAGATGCAGAGTAAATCAACCTGAAAACCTTGAAGATGGTAATGAACAGTAATCTGGTGATACTATTATTAGTGTGTTGTTGTTGTTTTTTTTTTTTTTTTTTTGTAGGAGGAAGAAGAAGGGGGTCTTTAATATGATTTTCCTCCTAAAATAAGCATTTCTGGTTTCAAAGGCGAGGTAGGGGGTGGCGGTACTTAAAAGAAGCATACCTGGCTGTAAAGTCACATATGAAAGGTGGTCAAGTCTTAAAACTAGGTTACCCTGGGGTTATAGGGAGGATCAGGTAAGATAATGAGTGTAAAAGAACTTTATAGA